AACATACTTTATGGTATTATTGAGCAAATATGCCAAATTCTTGGTACGCTAAAAATTAAGTATTAAACATTTTATTCGAAGCTAAAGCTTGAATTTATTAATTTTTTTTTTATATAGAATAAATTTATTCAAATTTATATATTAATTTGTATATTTTTTATTTTGACTGATACTCGTTTTCACTAAATCAATTTTTATATGCTTAAAAAGTACATGAATTATTTTTTATTAACATGAAAAATACATTAAAAACATTTTTTTTTTTTTAATAAAAACATTATAACACAGTTATTAATAACTATTATTATACATTATTATTATTAAGGATTAACGTTATAATATGAGTCGATATCTTACAATTTACCAAAAAAAAAAAAAGTATATTTGATTATATTCATTCATTTTTCATAATTGTATTTTTTTTTTTTTAAAGAAGTCGTACATGCAATTTTAAATAAAATTTATTATAATGATTTTTTTATGCTGAAGTTTTATAACTCTCTGTTAGGTACTTGTCAATAATTATATTTCCGTATTCCGTTTTAAGATTTTATTTTTTTTATTTTTTTTGGCGGCTTCTAACGTTTTGATAATTTGGATTATTATCAATGCTGGTGCTATTTAATTTAACGTATACATCCGTCTGAACTTATATAACTAAAACCGTAAGTCATTTCATTAGAGGAGGATTTTCTTTATAAAAGTTTTGGTTGAAATTTGAATAGAACGACTCACAAGCATTGGCGGTTTGTTATTGGCTTGACAATGGAGCAGCCCAAACTGTTGGTGGATATAAACAATTGTCATCGATATAATTATATAAAAGACATTTTGAAATTTTTTTAACTCTTTCGTCAGTTGGTAGATCAGCCATAAAATCTTCAAAAAAACATTCAGATATTTCAACCGACTTCAGATACAAGTATATTAAAAGTCTGACGTAACCAAATGCCTATTTTAGATAATTTATTTTGGCATTCGATCGATAATACGAAGTTTTGAATTTGATGATAACTGGGTTAAATGAAA